TTATGATCTCCCAAATCTGGCCCTTGACCCCCTGTTCTGCTTAAATTTTTCTCCATTGTACTCTTGACAAGTTATACATTCTATTTATTTATGTATTGATTTGTTTGTTTATTTTTAAAATTTATTTATCTCTTCCCCATGACTAGAATTCGAGCTTCATAAGGGCAGGCATTTTTGTCTGATTTGTCACAGTGGTTGAGAGCTTGCTGCTAACCCAAAGGTCAGCAGTTTGAATCCACCAGCCGCTCCTTGGAAACCCTTTGGGGCAGTTTTACTCTGCTTATAGGGTTGCTATGAGTCGGAATCAACTTGATGGCAATGGGTTTGTTTCTTTTTGGTGTACCCAGTGCCTAGAACAGTGCCTGGTATGTAATAGGTACTCAACAAACATTTGTTAAATGACTGAATGAATAACTGTTAAGAAGTCTTCGAATTTCCAGCTTGAGGTAGAATGACAAGTGGTCCTTTGGGAAGCTATGCAATAGGAAAACAGAATACTATTCTTTCCTCTGGCTTTCCCCACTCTGGTTTCTCTTGCTTTGTAACTGATTAATAGGGATTTGACTTTCTTTCTACTTTAATCCTTCCTTCAGCAAGGCAGCCTATAAGCAGGAATTAAATAATTAGACATGGTGGTCTTGTGGGTGGTTTCATTAACATTCATTGCTTCAGTCTCATATAACTTATTGGTAGTGAAATTCCTATTTCAGATAAGGCTGTTACTCAGGCAAGCACTTCTTTTCTTTCATTTTGTTTCCATTTGGCTGCCATGTTCACACGTTCTATGGTGACGAATCATGAGAGAGAATCCTGTATGCTTTTCTTGCTCTGGAAGAATTTATATATTTGCTAAGAAGGTACAACCCTAGGACTTCGGGAAAGAGTTGTGGGATACACTTGATGGAATAATCATAAATGTTATACAAGAGTTGACATGAGGAAGATTCCAAAGTATGTAAATACGTAAAAGGAAGGTTAGAGAGAGTGAGTAAATTCTGAGCCTGGGCCTCAAAACCATCAGGACATACTAAAAGCATAGTCCCTACGAAACAATTTAAAACAAAAGGAGATCTAATTTAGAATTAGATGTAATGGATTCAGAGGAGTGCTTATTTCTAGAACGTCCATCTGAAAGGAATCAAGGTTAGTTCACCTGCCCTTGACTGTAATCACTTAACCTTAGTTAACATGTACAAGTTCCTTTTTACAAGAAAAAAAAAAATGATGAAAACAAACCAAAAGAAGCAAATAATGAAATTTCTTTAAAACTACTAGTTATGGATTGAAGTGTGTTCCCCCAAAATGTGTGCTGTAAATTCTCACCCCTATAACTGTGGTAAGGAGCCCTAGTGGTGATGCAGTGATTAAGCTCTTGGTTGCTAACCAAAAGGTCAGGGTTCGAACCCCGCAGCCTCTTTGCCTAAAGATTGCAGCCTTGAAAACTCTATGGGACAATTAGCTCTGTCCTATAGGGTCTCTGTGAATTGGAATTTGACTTAAGGGTTTTTTTTTTTTTTTTTTGGTTTTATACCTGTGGTTATAATCCCATTTGGAAATGGGTTTTCCTTGTTATGTTAATGAGGCAATATTAGTGTAGGATGTGTCTTAAGTCAGTCTCTTTGGACATATAAAAAGAGCAGACTGAGCAAGCAACCAAGCAAACAGAGACGGGGGAAGGCAGATACCACACCAATGAAGATCACCAAGGAACAAACAGAGATGGAGGAAGGCAGATGTCACACCAGTGAATATTACTAAGGAACTGAGAAACAGAAGCTGAAAAGAGACAAGGACCTTTCCTTAGAGCCGACAGAGAGAGAAAGCCTTCCCCTAGAGCTGGCACCCTGAATTCTGACTTCTAGCCTCCTGAGCTGTGAGAAAATAAATTTCTGTTTGTTAAAGCCACTCACTTGTGGTATTTCTGTTATAGCAGCACTAGATAACTAAGACGCTACTCAAACAGTTGAGAACTTTCGAGGGGGTTGAAATACTAAAGTAAAATATTAATTAATGAGATGTACAAAGTGGGGTTTTGTGTAATTGACTCTTCTAATGACAAGTTAACTGGATAGCCTTTTTTTCATTCAACCCCAGTAGCAGGCACATTTTCTAAAATCATCAAGGCCTGTGCTTGTATTAAGTGGTTCAAACTTAGTAACATAATTAAGTACTTTTTGAAGATTAAAAGACTTGACTTTCATTTCTTGAAATATTAAAAATTAGATAACCCCAAAAGGTCCCTAGGTGGTGCAAAAGGTTTACTCTAGCCCTGGTGGTGCAGTGGTTAAGAGCGAGGCTGCTAA